CCAGGTCTTTACCATGGTCTTAAAGGAGGCGTGCGATCCTTGCCCCTCATCTCCCAGGACATCTTACAGCCCCAGGTGAGCCTGTTCACCGGCAGAGTCCCCGAGCATTGGTTCCTGAGTCTTTTCCCTGCCTGCTGCATCTTCGAAATCCCAGCAGGCAGAAGGTTCAGCCACACTGTGATGCTGTTACAACAAGGACCAGCAGATGGCAGTGTCTGCCAGCCCGCTGTCATTTGTCCCAAACCCAAGGGCCCTGAGATGTCCCCTGTGGAAGGCTTCTGAGAAAGAAGCCACTCTTCTCTCTTCTTCTCTGTGACCTCCCCTCCCCTGCCTGGGGGTTCGGGGCACAGGAGCAGGCCACGCCCAGCAGGCTGGGGCTGAAGCTGCACCGACCCCAGTGTGGATGCCAGAGCCGTTGCTCGGGGTTACCTGGGGTGAGGCAGCCATGGCTTGAGCATGGGAAATACCTCGAGCTTGAGAAAGCCTGGCCTGGGCATCACAAGGTATCTGAGCCAGAGCCCACTGGAATCATCCCAAACCCACCGCCCCAGGTCTTTCTGGGGGAGATTTTTGCAGCCCATTTCTGGGCTGAGTGGAGGCTAGCATCACCAGATGCAGACGGTGGGTAGATGGCTCTGTTGGCCATTGTCACCATTTGCCTCTCCTGCCCTCCCAGGATACCTAATCCAGGCCCTGCCTCCTCACCTCTAACTCTCCAGCTCCAAGTCGGAAAGGCCAGAGGCTATGGTGGATACAGACTGTGGACAGGGTCCTGGCTGGGTCCCTGGCAGTGAACCGATCCTCACACTCCCTCAACTTTTCACTCGCAGACCCTTGGGGGACAGTTGATTGTCAGCCTCATTGTACATGTGGGGGGTCTATAAGCCAGGAAGGACGAGGGACTTGCAGCCCAAGGATAGAGGTAGGATTTGAATTCAGGTCTCTTGACTCTCAGAAGCATTAGCTTTATGTTCCAAATTAGCCCAGCACCCCCCAACAATGGACAGAGCAGAGGCTGACCCTCATCATGCCTCATCTACAGGGTTCCCTGAGCAGAGCTGAGAACCTCTGGGCTGTGACAAAAAGCAAAGGCCCAGGAACACAGAGGCGACCCACAATCCCAAATGGCTCTGATGCCAAATGATAGGCTGCTGATCACTTCTTGCTGGGACTTGGCTTCCTCATGTGGACAATGTGGGCTACAGAGCAGGTCACCTCTAAGAGACCCCTTTGTTCTCTTGTCATCAGACATTGGGGCCAGATGTCTGGGTGTGGCTGGAGACCCGCTGGAAGGCTGAGCAGGTGGCAGCTGCCTGAAGGTCACTGCACTGTGGCTCTAGCTGGCAGGATCCAAGACTAACTTCCTGAGTGGCAACAACCCAGTGTTCCCTGTTCCCAGATGACATGACTCCCAACAGCAAAGGTGCCTTTACAAGATGTGGCTCTCGCAGGCGCAGGATGAAGAACTTCCTCACGCTCAGAGGCTGCCTGCGGTAGGGAGTGCCCGTCTCTGCAGGTGTGCAAGCCCAGCCTGGGGAGCACGTGCTGTGATCCAGGCCTGGCATAAAAAGTTGGCCTAATCACCCAAAAGTTTCTTTCAGATCCTGAGATTCTGTGGCTCAGAATCAGGGACTTGGTGTTCAGGGAGGGCAAATAGCTTCTGCAAGAAATGGATGAGCAGCAAGGCGCTGTCCAAGGGGAGGGTCTGGGCGTGAGAACGTGGGAGCTGCCCCTCCTCACCGAGTCCAAGAAACAATCCCGCAGCCAGGCTGCTCGCCCCGCTCCTGCTCATGGGGCCAGCCTCGCCTCCTCTTTCTGAGGAGGAGACAGCTGTAGTCTGGAGGTCTGGGGTCGTCATCAGAGGGATGAAGAACTAAAGTTAGAACTTCAGTCCCCAGTTTCCTCCCAGCCTCCTCTGAACCCCGCTCCTGCCATCTGCCTCTGGGCCTCATCACCAGCTCTCCAGTGACTGCGGCGGTGACCGAGGGAGGCGTTTCCACTCATGATGTGCTTAGTGCCTAGGGCACAGCTTCAAGGTCTCCTGCCACCTACCAAAGGCTCCTTGCATCCCCTACGAGGACGCCCCAAGTGGGCCTGGGCCAGGCTGGGATTGTGGGCCCAGCAAGGACTGCCTGCTCACCAGGAGGGCTCGAGCTTCATGGAGTCAGGGACAGAGGGCTGGGGAGCTCCTGGCTCCCGTTTCTCTCTCCTCAGCCAGGGCATGCAGATGGAGCCTCCTTCATGGGCTTCCAGGTGCAACCAGAGACCTGGTCACAGGCAGGCCCTGCTGCTGGTAGGACAGGCTGTATCTTCAATGGCAGGTGTTGCAAGCTCCCAGCTGACAGCAGAGGCAGAAAAGTGTCCCCCGGGCGACACTTTCACAGTCTTCACCTGGACCTCAGAGGTCCTTTATCTGCCAAGAATTTGCTAGAGAGCCAAAGAGGAATGGCAGGAACCCCCTCTCCACTGGGGTTGGCAGACCACAGTCCTCACAGTCCCATCCCCCCTGGGCAGTGGGAAGCCAAGGGTTGGGCAGAGACAAATGGTCCAGGCTCTGCCACTCACCAGGTGACCCTGGGCAAGGTGCTCAATTTCCTTGTGACTCAACTTTATCTACAAAATGGGAGTACTACTATCTAGTTGGGGGAATGAAATGGCATGAGGCATGCAAAGCAGTAGTCATGATGCCCATGCTCAAGGGATAATAAATGGTGACCATCATTATGGATGGGGAGGGAGAGGGAGCCAGCCAAAGCCAAACATCCTCTACGCCTCCCTCCTTTCTGGGCTTGGCTTCAATGTGTCCTCTCCTGATCAAAAAGCCCCCCCCATGACCAGCCCTGGTCTCTCATGACTTTACACTGAACCACCTGACAGTACACTGCACATCTATGTGCTTACTGTTTATCGTGTCTTCTGCCCATACTAAGGCGCCATGTGTTTGTCCTGTGCATTGCTGACTCCACAATACATAAAAGAGGACCTGGCAATGAGTATTAACTTGGAAGATGGAAGGAAGGATGGAGGGAAGGAAGGAAGGAAGGAAGGAAGGAGGGAGGGAGGGAGGGAGGGAGGGAGGGAGG